GTTTGTGACACAATGTGTTGCTCAGCAATTTGTTGAATTGCTTGAAGCCTGCTGTTTAAAAATCTGAAAATATTGTAACGTTGCTAGACTCCATCATTTGTTCCAGGGAGACATCTGCATTTCAGTCTCATGAAATACGACCTATACAGGTCATATCTGCTACCAGTAGTGAATTTCCTGGGCTGTACTTTGTCCTTGCTTCACAGTGCTGGGGTCTTATTTAAAAAATGGTTGTTTGGGTTCAGTTACCAAGTTTCTTTCATGTTGTTTTCAAATGGCTTGTGATCAGGTAGAATGCCAACTTTGGGCTGAGGGTTGAACCTATGAATCATTGTAGCGGGTGGCTTCTTTACTGCATAGAAACACAAACGGGTCATACTTGTCGGGGCTTTTCTAGGTTACAGGTTTTGCATCAGTATTGCTTATAGGCTGCCTTTTGAGACATCCACTCTTTCAAATGTCTGCGCTTGAGAGTCTATTTCCATACTGCTTTATTATATTCTAGCTGTCTAAACTTCTTGCAGGTTTTATTAATTGTTTGGTTATAGTTATAAATTGATGGACTTCCTTTGGTTCCAATGATTTAATTTTTTTTTAAGTGAATGTGTTTTTTAGGGTCTGGTTGGAGTCCTTCAAAAGTCAACAGATGTCAGATGTGGGCAAACTTGGCTTACAATTTCAGATGATTTGTATTTAGTTTAATAACCTGTCCTGGCACCTATTTAGATGCTGTTATAGTTTGGTATTATGCTTTCCTTTTCACAACTTTCTCCTACAATCTGAATACCGATGCTGGCACAGTGTGCCTGGCTTAGTCTACAGTGGAATGGCTTTAGGGCTGGACTGATTCCCAGAGACATTTGTAACAAGTAGTATCTGTCAGAAGGAGTGGAAAATATTTCCAGGTGACTCATGTAGCTTCCTGTGCCAGAAGTTATTCTTGATATGATAAACACAGAATGAATTTTTCATAGCTAGATCAGGTATCTGATGTTTGATATACTAGGCTTTTTTCCAAAGGCTTCAGGAAAACCTTGGTTTAATGCTAACCCTCCCCTGCATGCACCTTTATAAGCTCTCAGCTTCTAAATAGGACTTCCCCTTTTCCTTTCTGAAAGTTGGTAAGTACAAGAACATGGTACAAAGCTTGGTTGGGCTGCTGCCCAGCAGGTAAATCCGTGAAGGGGAAGGGGTGTGGGGGAGGG